CAACTTTTTCCAATTTGTCTAAATATTTAACACCTAGATCTGCTGCTAAGTTAAAAATACCATATTCTAAAAAAATAATAATGTAATTTAGCAATTATAAAAAGAGACTATATACTGTTATAATTAACTTGACTTTTAGATAAATTATTATAATTACTTATTTAATATCTTTATTTTTATAAATCTTATAGCCCAAAACAAAAAATTAAGTAAAGATATTTTAATTTTTAACAACTATGGAATAAATGAAGCATTTGATATTAAGGATCCTGATAGTGATTATGATACTTACGATGATAATACAAGTTCTATAACCATTGAAGAAACTATTGCATCTGAAGGTGCAATAGTTAATGAAAGCATTTAAATACAACCATTTATATAGGATAAATTTGCTTTTAAACAGGCTAAAATATTGGCTAATAAAAAAGAAAATAATGATGATTGTGAAATCAAATAGGAAGATCTAGAACATGAATTCTCTGAAACGGCATCATTTGTAACAGAATCAACAGACAATGAAGGCCTAAATTATTTTTTAGATAATCGTAAAAAAGCTAAAACATTAACTTCTTGTGTCCTTTTATATGTAATTGATGGTCAAGTAAAATGATATTCTAAATTTAAGCAAAAAACACAATGACCTTTAGCACAATTACTTGGTACTTGGAAAATCGATAGTGAAGCATTTGAGTCAGTCAAAAATGATAATGAACTATATACTTTAGGAGTATGTGGATCGCATTTTACTTTTGATCAAACTGAACTTCATGATACAAAGCTCAAGAGTATACAATCTATTAAAAAAAGTTGTGTAAATTATCACTGATGCTTATTTTGTAATAAGAACAAATACTTTTTAGTCGTGGAGGTAGTTGTTTTCAACATTCTACATGTATAATAGGACGAACTGTACAAGTATCTTGTATGGGTCTTAAAACTTGTTCGGCATTTAAAATTATAGTAATATTAATTCTGATCATAAATATCAACCTCGATATAACTGTAATCAGTGTTTTAACTTACAAGATGATCATTTAATAAGAAACCTGAATTATGTAACAGTAAACATAACAATGATACAATACAAGCACTTGAGTTATTAGAATGATTTATTTTAAATATAGCAGTATCAGATAAACATGAACAAAATGAAGAATTATTAATATATCTTAGCTCAATATTACTTTTTATTGACAAAACCAAATCACATATAAAAAATCTACCAAGCCTTTTATTTATAAAAGCGGCTCTACGACTTGGACATATTAATATTATAAAAATAATAGAAAATGATTCCAATCTTACACCTCAAACATCAAAAAAAATAGTGAAATATTAGGAATCACAATATAGAAATCTAGAAATGAAGTTCGACAAAACAAAGAAGCTCTTGAAAAACCAAACTCTTTAGCCGAATATCAGGCTACTTTTCCACAATGCATCTTAAATTTTTTCAATGAGTTAATTACTAAGTTACAAAAAAAAATATGATATTATTAACAAAAAGAGAAGACAACGAGGATTAGAAATGAAAACTTTTGATGAAGCCCGAGTAAATAAAATAGCAATATTTTTTGTTTCAGTAATTCTTTCTATTGCTTTCCCTGCTACAGACATTTGGCTTACATATGTAATAAGTTCATTAGCACGTAAATCTAAATTATTAACTTCACTCTACAGTATTTTATGTACTGCAGGTGTAGTATCCTATACACAACAATATGAAAAAAAATTAGAACAATGTAGAATGATAAAACAAATCTAATTTAAAGACTTATAAAAGGTGAAAATGTTTAGAATGTATCTGTTATTGATAATATAGACTTTAAAGAAAGTTCATTTAAATAGAGAAATATTTTTGATGATACTAGAAATACTTCACATGTTACTCTACGTGTAGTTTTTCAATTTACACTGCCATTATCACTTAAATCTCTTAAAGATATTACTACGAATGAAACAATTAGCAATAGTAATAGCATTGTTCATAATATCAACAATAATATCAATATCAATATCGATTGTACTTTATTTGGTGAATCAGTCTTTATAAAAAATTAATATAAAAACCATGAAGTCATTTTTAATAAATTTATAGAACAATACTTAGATAATTGGGATATTAGTGATATTTATAATGAACTTATAAAAGAAGTACCTTTAGGATATCAAGTTTTAGATACAAACTTCATAATTCTCACACTAGGTGAACAGCCAAACTGTGATTTAAATATTCATAACTCGTGTAAAATGTACTTTAAAGATTTGCAATTATCAGAAAATGAATGCATAGATGTTGCATGTTATGAAGCAATTTTCCGTAGATTAATATCATATCATGAGTCAAAAAAAGATAACTCTGTGGGTTGCTCTTAGGACAATGGCATACATCGAAAACAATATGTGCAACTATAATTACTATTTTTTTAGAATATGGTATTTTTAACTTAGCAGCAGATCTAGGTGTTAAATATTTAGACAAATTGGAAAAAGTTG